TTACAGTGATTTTGTATGTAATTGTAAAAAAAAAAAAATGTAAAAGTATTAGTCTGATTAAAATGGTTGACTGTAAAGATACCTATATTTTTAGTAATAATCTTATTGAGCACTTTTGTGCTTCAAGCATCGTGCTTAATTATGCTGTGCTAATTGAAGTTGCTGTAAACTGTTCGTTGCTAGTACTGAAGTTTGTCAACGGACGTGGGAGGCATGTTGTTTGCTTGCAATACTGTGCCCTTTTTAATTACTACCTGTATTATGAAATTATTTGTACAACTTTGAATGAAAACTTTGAAATTTAATGTACTTGTATAAAACTTGGATTTTACACATCTCAAATTTCAAACTGATATGATGTTGATTTGATTTGGTTTTAAATTGTTTTAATGAGCGTGGGGCATACATTTGAAGGGGAGACACTTGTAAACAGAAGAAGTCCAATTTGTTATTTGTGAACCTAATGGTTCAACAAACAGAAAAACTTACAGTTCACTTGAATTTCATTCCAGGATTTTTTAGGAAGATTTGAAGGAAGTTTAGGTGAAATTGTTGGATCACCAGGTGGAAAAGTAGAAAAACCATTAACGTAAGCAATGAACAATATTTTCTGGATGTTAATATGAATATTAAACAGTACTTTTGTGATAAATTGAAGTACGGAGCACTTATAAATGCAAATAAAATATTCTTGCTAAATTATCACAAAAATGCAATCTAATTAAATTCAATACATGTATTTCAATTTGAAACATTTTGGATACAAGAAATGCTCAATTCAGATTCAATGTTAGCCTTATTATTAGATGTTAAGACTGCTCCTCGATTCTGATAGGCAGATTGATATCTCTTAAACATGTCACTGAATAAAAACTCTTTGTTTTGTTTTCAACAGAATACAGAATTATCAAAAAGGCAGAATTATAAGTAAGTCGAAAATTTTATTTGTAAAATTATACATTAAACCTGGATATAGTTCAATGAATTTTTTTGTACTATCATTGTATTTTCAGTTTATACATGTTGCATGCATGATATTCGTTAGTTTTGTAATCTTCTAAAACAAAGGAAAAGTGCATTTTAACTGTGATTGTACAGGTTACATGTACATATTGAATTTTTTGCCAAAATTTTGACATTCAAGTAAAGACATTGCCATTGTAACTTCAAATTTTATTTTAAAAAATACTGATAGACATATTTTCATGAACCAGATCATGTTTAATCATCATTACTTCTACTCTTACAGTTAGAGCGGAAGAAATGAGTAACTGCAAGGTAAGCTATAATACGTACATGTATAGAAAATTATACAGAAATTTATAAAACAATGTGCTGAAGGTAATACATGTACATGATTGGAATGATACCAAGGCCTCTTTTAAGTATTTGGTTCTACCGTTTCAACCAGCTGAACCTGAAAAGGAAACAACAGGCTCAGATCTGAACTGAGGCTGACCTCAGGAATATTTGGCATGTACATATTGAGGGTCCAGACGTGCCTCAGCGAAACACAAATCCTGACTACTGCTAGCTTGTATTCTTATTTATAAAACAAGCTTCCCTACAAATTTAGCTGCCCTGATCGCTCTCCCACAATGGTGTATCCTGCCAACAGAAGCTTCTCTACAAGTTTAACTGCCCTGGCCCCTCTCCCATAATGATGTATCCTGCCAACAGAAGCTTCCCTACAAGTTTAGCTGCCCTGGCCCCTCTCCCATAATGGTGTATCCTGCCAACAGAATCTTCCCTACAAGTTTAACTGCCCTGACCCTTCTCCCACAATGGTGTATCCTGCCAACAGAATCTTCCCTACAAGTTAAACTGCCCTGGCCCCTCTCCCATAATGATGTATCCTGCCAACAGAAGCTTCCCTACAAGTTTAGCTGCCCTGATCCCTCTCCCACAATGGTGTATCCTGCCAACAGAAGCTTCTCTACAAGTTTAACTTCCCTGGCCCCTCTCCCATAATGATGTATCCTGCCAACAGAAGCTTCCCTACAAGTTTAACTGCCCTGACCCTTCTACCACAATGGTGTATCCTGCCAACAGAATCTTCCCTTACAAGTTTAACTGCCCTGACCCTTCTCCCATAATGTTGTTTCCTGCCAACTGCCAACAGAAGCTTCTCTACAAGTTTAGCTGTCCTGGACCATCTCCCATAATGATGTATCCTTCCAACAGAATCTTCCCTACAAGTTTAGCTGTCCCTGACCCTTCTCCCATAATTGTGTATCCTGCCAACTGCCAACAGAAACTTCTCTACAAGTTTAGCTGTCCTGGCCCCTATCCCATAATGGTGTATCCTGCCAACAGAAGCTTCCCTACAAGTTTAACTGCCCTGACCCTTATCCCATAATGGTGTATCCTGCCAACTGCCTACAGAAGCTTCTCTACAAGTTTAGCTGTCCTGGACCATCTCCCAAAATGATGTATCCTTCCAACAGAATCTTCCCTACAAGTTTAGCTGTCCTGGCCCCTCTCCCATAATGATGCATCCTGCCAACAGAATCTTCCCTTACAAGTTTAGCTGTCCCTGACCTCTCTCCCATAATGGTGTATCCTGCCAACTGCCAACAGAAGCTTCTCTACAAGTTTAGCTGTCCTGGCCCCTCTCCAATAATGATGTATCCTGCCAACAGAATCTTCCCTTACAAGTTTAGCTGCCCCTGACCTCTCTCCCATAATGGTGTATCCTGCAAACTGCCAACAGAAGCTTCTCTACAAGTTTAGCTGTCCTGGCCCATCTCCCATAATGATGTATCCTGCCAACAGAATCTTCCCTTACAAGTTTAGCTGCCCCTGACCTCTCTCCCATAATGGTGTATCCTGCAAACTGCCAACAGAAGCTTCTCTACAAGTTTAGCTGTCCTGGCCCCTCTCCCATAATGATGTATCCTGCCGACAGAATCTTCCCTTACAAGTTTAGCTGTCCCTGACCTCTCTCCCATAATGGTGCATCCTGCCAACTGCCAACAGAAGCTTCTCTACAAGTTTAACTGCCCTGGCCCCTCTCCCATAATGGTGTACCCTGCCAACAGAATCTTCCCTACAAGTTTAGCTGTCCTGGCCCCTCTCCCATAATGATGTATCCTGCCGACAGAATCTTCCCTTACAAGTTTAGCTGTCCCTGACCTCTCTCCCATAATGGTGTATTCTGCCAACTGCCAACAGAAGCTTCTCTACAAGTTTAGCTGTCCTGGCCCCTCTCCCATAATGATGCATCCTGCCAACAGAATCTTCCCTTACAAGTTTAGCTGCCCCTGACCTCTCTCCCATAATGGTGTATCCTGCCAACAGAATCTTCCCTTACAAGTTTAGCAGTCCCTGACCTCTCTCCCATAATGGTGTATCCTGCAAACTGCCAACAGAAGCTTCTCTACAAGTTTAGCTGTCCTGGCCCATCTCCCATAATGATGTATCCTTCCAACAGAATCTTCCCTACAAGTTTAGCTGTCCCTAACCCCTCTCCCATAATGGTGTATCCTGCCAACAGAATCTTCCCTACAAGTCGAGCTGCCCTGACCCCTATCCCATAATAGTGTACCCTGCCAACAGAATCTTCCCTACAAGTTTAGCTGCCCCTGGACCCTCTCCCATAATGGTGTACCCTGCCGACAGAATCTTCCCTACAAGTTTAGCTGCCCCTGGACCCTCTCCCATAATGGTGTACCCTGCCAACAGAATCTTCCCTACAAGTTTAGCTGCCCCTGACCCCTCTCCCATAATAGTGTATCCTGCCAACAGAATCTTCCCTACAAGTTTAGCTGCCCCTGGACCCTCTCCCATAATGGTGTACCCTGCCGACAGAATCTTCCCTACAAGTTTAGCTGCCCCTGACCCCTCTCCCATGATAGCGTATCCTGCCAACAGAATCTTCCCTACAAGTTTAGCTGTCCCTGACCCCTCTCCCATAATGGTGTATCCTGCCAACAGAATCTTCCCTACAAGTTGAGCTGCCCTGACCCCTATCCCATAATGGTGTACCCTGCCAACAGAATCTTCCCTACAAGTTTAGCTGCCCTGGACCCCTCTCCCATAATGGTGTATCATCCCAACAGAATCTTCCCTACAAGTTTAGCGGTCCCTGACCCTTCTCCCATAATGGTGTATCCTGCCAACGGCCAACAGAATCTTCCCTACAAGTTTAGCTGCCCCTGACCCCTCTTCCATAATGGTGTATCATGCCAACAGAATCTTCCCTACAAGTTTAGCTGCCACTGACCTCTCTCCCATAATGGTGTATCCTGCCACCAGAATCTTCCCTACAAGTTTAGCTGTCCCTGACCCTCCTCCCATAATGGTGTATCCTGCCAACTGCCAACAGAATCTTCCCTACAAGTTTAGCTGCCCTGGACCCCTCTCCCATAATGGTGTATCATCCCAACAGAATCTTCCCTACAAGTTTAGCTGCCCTGGACCCCTCTCCCATAATGGTGTATCATCCCAACAGAATCTTCCCTACAAGTTTAGCTGCCCCTGACCCCTCTCCCATAATGGTGTATCGTGCCAACAGAATCTTCCCTACAAGTTGAGCTGCCCTGCCCCCTATCCCATAATGGTGTACCCTGCCAACAGAATCGTCCCTACAAGTCTAGCTGCCCCTGACCTCTCTCCCATAATAGTGTATCCTGCCAACAGAATCTTACCTACAAGTTTAGCTGCCCCTGGCCCCTCCCCCATAATGGTGTATCCTGCCAACAGAAGCTTCCCTACAAGTTTAACTGCCCCTGGCCCCTCTCCCATAATGGTGTATCCTGCCAACTGCCAACAGAAGCTTCTCTACAAGTTTAACTGCCCTGGCCCCTCTCCCATATGGTGCATCCTGCCAACAGAATCTTCCCTACAATTTTAGCTGCCCCTGACCTCTCTCCCATAATGGTGGATCATGCCAACAGAATCTTCCCTACAAGTTTAGGTGTCCCTGACCCCTCTCCCATAATGGTGTATCATCCCAACAGAATCTTCCCTACAAGTTTAGCTGCCCCTGACCCCTCTCGCATAATGGTGTATCATGCCAACAGAATCTTCCCTACAAGTTTAGCTGCCCCTGACCTCTCTCCCATAATGGTGTATCATGCCAACAGAATCTTCCCTACAAGTTTAGCTGCCCCTGACCTCTCTCCCATAATGGTGTATCCTGCCAACAGAAGCTTCCCTACAAGTTTAACTGCCCTGGCCCCTCTCCCATAATGGTGTATCCTGCAAACAGAAGCTTCCCTACAAGTTTAGCTGTCCTGGGCCCTCTCCCATAATGGTGTATCCTGCCAACAGAAGCTTCCCTACAAGTTTAACTGCCCTGGCTTCTCTCCCATAATGGTTGTGTTAATACAGATTATACATTTTCAGGTCATTTCTGATATTTAACCTCATGTATTGGGTAAGATTTAGGAATAACAGCTGTACCTGATTTTTTTGTACAATTCCCCCGGTACCTTTCATTCTCAGAGTACATTTGGTAAAGTATGTCATGTTTTTGACCTTAGCATACTTATGTTTGACAACATATGTCAATCCTTGTTGAGAATATAAAGTCACAAGGATGGATATTTTAAAGATTTTTAGTAGCTAATTGAAATTGTATGGTTATGCTTTTCAGGAAGTAGTCACTCTGCAATTTAAAGGCATCCATTTAGATAAAAAGGACTTTTTCGGTAAATCTGATCCCTACCTGGTGTTTTACAGAGCAAACGAGGATAACAGGTGAGTTAGAGTAAACATAACTGCTGTTGTTATCTAAATGATGGTTCAATATTGGTGGATTAGTATGATTGGACATACACGATTACACAGAGCAAGTAGTTTGATACAGAATTGTGGGAACCAAGAATTGGTTTTAAAAATTAAGTTTTTTGTTGACAGGTTACCATTTATAAATTGATAGTTGAGTTTACATGATACCGGTACTGTATAATGGGAAATTTCCTCTGCTGTTAAATATTTCGCCCTCTGGAATTAATGAGGGTGAATTTATCATTCCAGTGAACATAAGTCAACAACATCATATACATAGTTATTTAGATGTTAAAGGTGAAATTAACACTTTATTTGGATTTCAACCTTTGACTGGGAAAAAATTACCAGTATACAGTAAATGAAATCACATTTGCTACAAGTAACATCTTAATCTTATCTTCAATAAGGGTGCTCAGTTTGGAAATATGTGATATCAAAGTTTTACTTTTTACACAAACAATGTAGGTATTAGGGAAAATGGGAAAACTCAGAACATGAACAGATCGAGGGGTACACCAGCTGAGTCATCTGTATGACCCGATACTGACATAACAGGGGTGGGGGCGAGATCTACACCCTACCTGTAACCCTATCTGATGCAGTGTGTATACGCTCCCTATCGATAGGCGAAATGTCTTGGGTCGAGTGACATGAAAAATATACAATTTTTATTGTGGGAACCAAGAATTTTCACTTTGTCCTTTTATGACACTCACTGATTTATTTAAAGAAGATATCTGTCACTGTAGTAGCGATTGAATTGCAATAGGTTTCTGCCTTTACAATGTAACAGTGGTAATAATTTTTCAAAACCTCCGCTAAGGATTGAACCCCAAACTTCTGGTTTACTAGCCTGATGCGATACTGATTGAGCTGAATAGATTTTTTTTCAAAGTGAGTCAGTAGGAAGCAGTTAGTATTTTTACCAAGGTTGACAACACCAGCTTGTACAAAATATGTTTTCTCATACTTTATGTTCGTAGGTGTAGTATGCATAACTTTATTTCGTCAAACAAATGTTGGTAGAAGAATTTTTCACTTTATACTTTAAATACAAGATTTGCTTTTCTCTCATTTCCCTGTGTGTAAGACAGAGCTGTCCAGGGTAAGAAAGTGGTGTAGGAAATGTCTATCTTACACCCCTTTCTTGTGACTTGACATCACAATGGCTCAACAATGACGTGACATCAAGAATTTGTAACTCTCCGATGTCGCAGTGCGTAAAGGCGACGTGATGAAATTAAAACCTTTTACAATATATTTACCGTGCAGGTGATAAAGATGTGATTAATGTTTTTGCGAATACCAAATATGGGATATGCGTAATCTGGCTGGCTGATTCGTTTTTGTCTCCGGGGGGGTGGGGGGAATCGATATTTTCAAAATGGTGGCCAGTCCAAACGCATTTTAATGGTTTCTGAGGAAAAGCCTCGGGTTTTATAAAATTTGAAAAAGAGAGTCCCCTGTTAATCACCAAAAAGATCGTTCACGAGATAAAAGGAATAGTTCAGAATGAAAGATCAGCTTGACGTCAAATATGTTTAGTACCTTGGTATTTATTTTTCAGCTGCCTCATCAAATTTTAACCTGTAACTTTTACATTTTGTTCCCAGCTATACCATTGTACATAAAACAGAAGTAATAAAGAATACACTCAATCCAACGTGGAGGCCTTTCACTGTACAGGCCAGGGCTTTGTGTAACGGCGACTACGATAGGTTAGTACTGGCTTCAGGTCAATGTAACATCAAATTTGATTGGTTATTACTGCAGATATCACATCAAATTTTAACTTTGAAGATTTTCTCATGCTTTGTCATCTGGGATCGTGTATACATTTTTATGTAATTTCTGAATACAGACAGTCATCTGCAATACATATATATATAGTAAGCGTTGCAAAACTTGAAAAGGTGTCATATTAAAAGACAAATCGCAAAGTTATATTAATGATAATATTTTGATTTCAGATCCATCAAGGTTGAGTGTTATGACTGGGATAGTGATGGAAGGTAGGTCAAGCTAGAAACAGAATACATTAAGTCTTAAATATAACATTTTGTTTGCTGACTAAATCTCAGCCACTATTTCATGAAGGGGCCGTTGTTTATGACTATATCTCAGCCACTGTTTCATGAGGGGGCCATTGTTTAAGACTAAATCTCAGCCACTCTTTCATGAAGGGACCGTTGTTTATGACTATATCTCAGCCACTGTTTCATGAAGGGGTCATTGTTTAAGACTAAATCTCAGCCACTATTTCATGAAGGGGCCGTTGTTTATGTCTATATCTCAGCCACTGTTTCATGAAGGGGCTGTTTATGACTATATCTCAGCCACTTTTTCATGAAGGGGCTGTTTATGACTATATCTCAGCCACTGTTTCATGAAGGGGCCATTGTTTAAGACTAAATCTCAGCCACTATTTCATGAAGGGGCCGTTGTTTATGACGATATCTCAGCCACTGTTTCATGAAGGGGCTGTTGTTTAAGACTTTATCTCAGCCACTGTTTCATGAAGGGGCCGTTGTTTTTGACTTTATCTCAGCCACTGTTTCATGAAGGGGCTGTTTTTTAAGACTATATCTCCGCCACTGTTTCATGAAGGGGCTGTTTATGACTATAACTCAGCCACTGTTTCATGAAGGGGCTGTTTATGACTATATTTCAGCCACTGTTTCATGAAGGGGCCGTTGTTTATGTCTATATCTCAGCCACTGTTTCATGAAGGGGCTGTTGTTTAAGACTTTATCTCAGCCACTGTTTCATGAAGGGGCTGTTGTTTAAGACTTTATCTCAGCCACTGTTTCATGAAGGGGCTGTTTATTACTATATCTCAGCCACTGTTTCATGAAGGGGCTGTTTATTACTATATCTCAGCCACTGTTTCATGAAGGGGCTGTTGTTTAAGACTTTATCTCAGCCACTGTTTCATGACGGTGCCATTGTTTAAGACTTTATCTCAGCCACTGTTTCATGAAGGGGCCGTTGTTTATGACTTTATCTCAGCCACTGTTTCATGAAGGGGCTGTTGTTTAAGACTATATCTCAGCCACTGTTTCATGAAGGGGCTGTTTATGACTATATCTCAGCCACTGTTTCATGAAGGGGCATCAAACTTTGTACATAGGTACTTCATGGAAAGGCAGTGTGTCATGTCGTAAAAATGAGGTCACTGTGACCTTAATTTGACCTTTGACTGTGACCTCAAATCTCCAGAGCATATGTCAGCATCTGTTTTATGAATTGGCATTAAACTTTATATATAGGTACATCATGGAGAGGCGGTGTGTCGCTTCCTAAAATGAGGTCACTGTGATTTCAATTCTACCTTTGACCTTTACCTCCAGTACTAATTTAAGTGTGATTCAGGATTCTACAGCATATCTTAGCCACGGTTTCATGAGTGGGCTCCAAACTTTGTGGATATCTGTGGATTGGGGGTATCTGTGGATTGGGGGTATCTGTGAAGCCAATGCTTCGAGTTAAATCTACCTGGTAGCTCTCAATTATGTACTTCATGGCTTGACAATGATACATTTAAAGATTCAGAAATAGTGTTTAAAATATTGATTGTAGAGTCATGTAATATACTGTTTTCTTACACATTTGTGCTGGATTGTACAGGTTTCCAAATTACACAGGTACTGTTAAGAGATATGATGACACTGTATACAACTTTATGTATTAATGTGAGATATTGATGTTCTCTTGTTGGCAGCCATGATTTCATTGGAGAATTTACCACCAACATGAGAGAGCTGAGCCGAGGGGCGGGCTCCAATAACCAGTTTTCTGTGAGTATGCGCCTCTCATACGTAACTCTTACAGTCTCCAGTACTTCTTAAGGCTACAGAAATATATTTCTGTGTCGTGCAGATCACCCACATTTCATTATATACAGTCTAGCCTTTAAAATCCAACCACGTTCATTTCAATTCCTTAACAAAAAAAATGTGAGGCGCATTGATTACTGGGATATTTCTGTCTAGAAATTGAACTATTGTTTTGATTATAACTCTGAACTATAAATAGTGAGAAAAAAAAGAGAACTTCGTGAACATTTATGGACACATGCATCGTAATAGTTTTACAGTAGAAGATATGTCATATCTACTTCTGATTGGTCTATCTGCAGGGTCAAGGTCATGAACAGAGGCTACATGTTAGACACTACAGTAACACCAATAGTATTTGTTTCTATTATAGCCAGAGTAAAGGTCATTTATGTAGTAATATAATATGTAGTACTTGTAATTGTCTTAGGTTCTGAAGAATCTCTGAATTGAATAAAGAATAGATATATAATTTGTATGGGACTGTTATATATATTAGTAACCCATGTGTACATTGATTTTAGTCTGCCCAGTGGCCGGTAAGTACCCATGCACTGCAGGCTTTACTGACATTATTAGCTATGTAATATGTATATATTATTACAGGTAGGTATATTTTATATAAATTGTGCTTCATTTACTTATACCAGTTAGCATGCAGGACACGGTTTCCCCACTAGACACAAGACCCTTGCTGAAGTTGTCCTTTACATTTGTTCCTAATGACCCAGATACTGTCCTTTGCTTATACATACCTGGTATGTCCCAATTTACCTGATCCTATTCTGAAGATGGTCCCGATTCTTTCCTTCTCATATATCAAAAATCCCAGATCCGCACTCAAAGACCAGTGATGTGTCTATGCAGATGTCCATATTTCCCTGATCATCTCTCAGCCACCCTGATACTGTTCTTTACGCAAGTCCTAATTTTCCGAAACCTTCCCCCTGGTACAGGCACTGATCTTACACGATTCTCTCCCATAGACCCTGTAACAGTCATTGTACATATCAGAATTTCCCACATCCATTTCGGAAGGCCCTGGTACTGTCTTTGCATAAGTCCTGATTTCCCAGATCTTCTTCCAAAAACCCTGGTACTGATCTTTCCAGATTCTCTCCATAGACCCTGTTACTGTCCTTTTCATTTATCCAAATTTCCCACATCCATTTCCGAAGACCCTGGTACTGTCTTCGCATAATTCCTAATATCCCAGATCCTCTCCCAAAAGCCCCGGTACTGAGCCTCTCTGAATCTTTCCCATAGACCCTAAGGCCTGTTACTGTCATTTTCATATACATATATCTGAATTTCTCAGATCTTTTTCCAAAGACCCTGGTACTGTCTTTTTGGTATATTCCTATTTCTGTTTTGGCAACTTTTCCTCCCAAACCACTGGTACTATCATTCATGCATGTTCCAGTTTCCCAGATCCTTTCCCAAAAACCTGATATTTTGCTTTTGTATATGACCCAATTTCTTTGATTTTGTCTCAAAGACCTAAGTGATAGTATGCCTTTTATCTCCCTGTGATTTGTATCCAGATAGCTCCTCGTAAGATTTTGATTCTTTCCTGAAACCTGGAAACAATGATGCAAAACTGTAGGGAAGTTATGTACATGTAACCTGATACAAAATTGTTCATATATTTTGTATATAGCATGGCATGTTTTGTCTTTATTGTATTCAAGCTACAGGTGGCCCATCATCACTTTCCTGCTTCATCAGATAATAAGATGTCTTATTTAGAAATACTGACCTAGTCAGCTAAATTAATTTACTTCTAGTAAGAGACTGTATATAGTTTGTGTTTAGTACATGTATTTTATATGAGTAGCACCCTCCAAAATATTTTGGTCACACTATGGAAATTTAAAGTATTATAAAATTCTTGCTTCTAGTTGTTGACATTTAGTGGTTAATTCGAGGTTTTTAAAATTTTAGATATTAAGATAGAGTGTTCTATATTTTGCTTAATTCTCAATCCTGATGTCTGATTTTCATTTCATGTTGGTTGAAATAGGACAATACTCAGAAAATACAGAAGAATTTTTAAATATTTGAAAAGATCTGTTATAAATAAAATTAGAAGAAAACAATGAAGTATCAAAAGAATAGAAGTTAGTCCTTAGAAGTTAAATGTAGTCTTTAAATTTTGGAAATTAAAAATGTAATCAGCATATATACTGTGAAATAAGATATTATCATGGGGTCCAAATTTCGTTTTTTCCTGAAAAAACATTTTTTTTGTGGGTACATGAATTCATGGACTACGATCACCCACTCGTTTAGAAAATTGCTTCATATCAAACTTGTATTTACTTTGTGTACCTATGAATTTGTGGAGGAAGATTACCCACGAAAATAAAATGAAAACCCCACGAATATTTGTGATTTCACAGTATGTTTTTTAATTTGCTAGTGACCTTGCAAGTTCCAATGTATTTCTATATAATTCTTTTACCACTCTCATCCTTTTTTGAGTGGTGAATTATTATTCAAAACCTCTGTTTTCTGTTGTACATTTTGAATCACTTTTACTAATAGTTCTATTTTTCTACAGGTGATCAACCCTAAGAAAAAGGCAAAGAAGAAAAAGTATACCAACTCAGGGGAGGTAATTCACACAAATCTGTCTTTATTTAAATAGTGCAACCCGGATTTTGTCCTTTGAGTATATAACATACAGTAGAACCTTGTTAGTATATAACATACTGTAGAACCTTGTTAGTATATAACATACAGTAGAACCTTGTTAGTATGGACATCAGTTATGACTGGATTAAATGCAATAGAACCTTGTTGGTTTTATGACCCTTTATTCTGTTTGAAAAGTGGATTCATCTAATGTTGTCAGTATGGTATGTATATCAGCATACTTATTTCACAAGTCTTTACACACAAAAACATTATTTCTGAATCTTCACAAGTCTTTACACACAAACACATTATTTCTGAATCTTCAATTAGACTTAAAAAAGTGAATTTACATGTTTGAGTGAATTAATATGTAAACAATATGATTCCATCTCCAGGCCATACTGATGTCATACACAATGGAGATTCAGCATTCCTTCCTGGACTACATACAGAATGGGTAAGTACATACTTAGGGCTGCACAGTTTCACTATCCTGACACCCCATGTTGCTAAGCTAGTCAATTTCGTGTCAGGCTTTAAATAATATTGGTGGAGCTAGAAGAATTTTCGAAACCTGGCTAGTACTCTAAAATAAAATCATATTGTAAAATGGAGAGATCATCGCAGTGTGGAAATGCTCATGTTTGAAATAGTGTGAAAATATCCGTGGGCGAATATTTATACAGTATAGGAGTTATATAGAATACATGTATATAGATTTCAGAACCTGTGCTAATGCAAAGTTTTCCACACTGCAATCAGTTGAAGCAGTCCTGATCACATTGCTAACATTTCTACATGCGAGAATTTCCACTTTTACAGTACTGTGAACAGCCTAGCATCATCCTTAAAGTCTGTATTGTATACAGTTTGTATAGTTTCCTTACCATGACATTTAACCTCTGAACTTTGTCTTAAGTATACAAGATAAGAACCACCAACTACCTTGTCATACCTGTCAAATCAGCACATACAGGTAGCACAGTTGTTTTGATGTTACTATATCCTGCAATAAGCCCATTGCTGGGAACCCCACTTATAGTCTATGACCCTAGTGCAGGGGATAGGCTTAAGCTTAATATAGGAAAATCAAAAAGTAGTTTATTGCATTTCTACTGAACTGCCATAGACGGGGGTGGGCTTATTATCAGGCATGGCCTTTTTGCAGGATACATATGGTAAGCTATCTGAGTGTTGCACTTACCAACACCTCCACAATGCTGTCCTTTTACAAACAACAATCACTTGAAACTTTAGTGTGCAATATTAAATCACACAGAAAAATAGAATTACTGTTGCTGTAGGGACAACGGAATATTGATCAAAGTTTGCTTCAGAACAGTTGTTTAGAAAAAGTATGATACGTTTCATTCTCCTGTTTCAGTGTATATAAATTATTTTTTCTCTCTAAAATAATGATATCAGCTGTTTCAAATTCACTTTGAAATGTTCTGCTTATTCACTGACTTTCCCCAGTACCCACAGAACACTTCTTTGTTCATCCGATTGGTGGATGAACTGGTTTCTGTAAATGACCTTTTTCTGTATACAGCCAAACCTTGCTTATCCAACCACTGCTAATCTGTTAGTGCTACTTCAGTATATATATCTAGACAGAGACTTAGGAGACAGGAGACAGATCGGTACTTTTTATATAAAAAAAATTTGATACAGTTGCCGCCTTCTCAAAATCAAGCCACTTGTTAAGGGGATGAAGGTATAGCTGGATTATTGCTGCTTGCCTGTAAAGCCAAATTTACGAGGATATTTTCCTTGAATACCTGTTGAGTTCTCTCGGCTTGATTATCAGAGATAAAACATGGCACAATGAGATAAAAAGATTAAACACATTTCATGGTATTAGCCCTACTTTCCTCTGGCCCGGCTACCACCAGACAGTTTGATAGATAGGATGGCTGGTGAACGATTGAAAACACAGGACTCTGCTGATAGAATTTAGCAGTGACTCTGCTGATAGAATTTAGCAGTGACTCTACTGATAGAATTTAGCAGTGACTCTACTGGTAGAATTTAGCAGTGACTCTACTGATAGAATTTAGCAGTGACTCTGCTGATATAATTTAGCAGTGACTCTGCTGATAGAATTTAGCAGTGACTCTGCTGATAGAATTTAGCAGTGACTCTGCTGATAGAAGTTAGCAGTGACTCTGCTGATAGAATTTAGCAGTGACTCTACTGATCGAATTTAGCAGTGACTCTACTGATAGAATTTAGCAGTTACTCTACTGATAGAATTTAGCAGTGACTCTAGATCTACTGATAGAATTTAGCAGTGACTCTAGATCTACTGATAGAATTTAGCAGTGACTCTACTGGTAGAATTTAGCAGTGACTCTACTGATAGAATTTAGCAGTTACTCTACTGATAGAATTTAGCAGTGACTCTACTGATAGAGTTTAGCAGTGACTCTAGATCTACTGATATAATTTAGCAGTGAATCTACTGATAGAATTTAGCAGTGACTCTACTGATAGAATTTAGCAGTGACTCTACTGATAGAATTTAGCAGTGACTCTACTGATAGAGTTTAGCAGTGACTCTACTGATAGATTTTAGCAGTGACTCTACTGATAGAATTTAGCAGTGCATGGTGATAATAAGGGCAGTTTTGGATAGATAAATAAATAACCCATTTATCAATGTATGTGTGGTATGTGTTGTGTCATAATTAATATAGCAGATTGTTAATGTTAGCACCTTAACATTAAACTTAGCACCACCAAATGTGTCAGAGAATTCCACATTTTCATATACAGTAGTAATGTGCTCTGGCCCCATACCAGACATTTATCTGTCAAAATGTGTAAATTTGGTGTCAGGGCCAAGACATCTATCTGTCAAAATGTCCGAGTCTTTTGTCAGGGCCAAGACATCTATCTATCAAAATGTCCGAGTCTTTTGTCAGGGCCAAGACATCTACCTATCAAAATGTCCAAGTCTTGTGTCAGGGCCAAGACATCTGTCTGTCAAAATGTCCGAGTCTTGTGTCAGGGCCAAGACATCTGTCTGTCAAAATGTCCGAGTCTTGGGTCAGGGCCAAGACATCTATCTGTCAAAATGTGTAAATCTGGTGTCAGGGCCAAGACATCTAGCTATCTATCAAAATGTCCGAGTCTTGTGTCAGGGCCAAGACATCTATCTATCAAAATGTCCAAGTCTTGTGTAAGGGCCAAGACATCTATCTGTCAAAATGTCCAAGTCTTGTGTCAGGGCAAAGACATCTATCTGTCAAAATGTCCGAGTCTTTTGTCAGGGCCAAGACATCTATCTGTCAAATTGTCCAATTCTTGGGTCAGGGCCAAGACATCTATCTGTCAAATTGTCCAAGTCTTGTGTCAGGACCAAGACATCTATCTGTCAAAATGTGTAAATCTGGTGTCAGGGCCAAGACATCTATCATTCAAAATGTCCAAGTCTTGTGTAAGGGCCAAGACATCTATCTATCAAAATGTCCAAGTCTTGTGTCAGGGCCAAGACATCTATCTGTCAAAATGTCCGAGTCTTTTGTCAGGGCTATGGGAAACTCAGGCTATTCATGGTATATACAAAATTTTAGTAAACCACATCAGTCTATACATGCTTGTTGTTAATAAAATACAATTCAGTCCATATGTTGATATTCTACAAATTAAATTTAGGCCTCAATCATCAAATTAAATTCTTTGTGTATTTGTGTGTGAATCTGCATGTGCAAAGAATCTACATGTATATATGGAAGGAATAGAATGCAAAGAATTGTTGTCCTTTGAGGGATTGATACAAACTTATATAGGGGGTAAAGTGTCCTGTATCACAGCAACAATATGGTATGATATTAACAGATAACCAAGATCACTTGACAACTACTTTAAATCAAATAGATCTACAAGAATATTCCTTATTTGGTAAATTTGTAATAGTGAGTCTGCTAATTCAGTTGCACTTGACCGTATGATGACACTTATTCCAACTATATTTCTTGCAACCTCATTTTCAATATACTGTTTAGCAGGATATTTCTGTGGAGATGAAATTTTGGCAATTTCTTGGGTCAATAACGAGATAGTGAATATATGATCCATAGAATAAATATGACAAGTGTAAACGAGAGCTGCAATAATAAACTTCCTAATCGTAACGTTGTCATGCTATAGCGAGTATGTGGCGGTCAAGTTTCGTTCACGTCGAGAGTAATACAAGGTGGTTAGAAATAGATTATATCACACATGTTAAAGTTATGTTGATGATTTGCATAACAGAACACATGTACTTGCTCAGTATGATGTAATAAAGCATATTCGTTTGACTATTTGGCAATTTGTATGTCAAGTGTCCCGCCTCTATGCCAAAACACTGCTAAAAACTCCACATGTTTAGTATCACAAAACTATAATTTGTTTAAATTTAATTTTCTAATTTTGGGTCAATAACACAAAAACTTAAGCCCGTGTAAATAACCCGATATACTGTATAATATAATTCAAATTTTGTGTCTGTATGTTAATTAATATCATAAAACTTGTATCTTATTGTCAGGTTTTGATTTCTTAACTGACATTTCTTTCTTTTTTTTTGTGACATTTTTGTGGACCCTGGGTTTTCATATGCTTCATTGGACATACAGTGGGTATGTATCATTTCCTTCCCCTTAAGTTTCTATCAAACAGCATCTTACACTAACCTGGTTCTAACCAGCATGCTTTTACTGCAGGTCAGAACAAACATAAAAAAATATGTCGTTTTTTCTGATTATTTTTTGTATGTCATCCCCATGATATTAGTTGTGAGAATTATGATATATGTAAGGGTAAATGTCTTTGAGTTTTCACTACGGAGAGTTGAGTTTGTTCGATTTTAGAATGATAAAAGGGTGTTAATTAACAGATATATGTATACATGTTTTTCACATATACATTGCACAATCGGACAGTTTACATGCTCATGTTAAATAATATACATTCATCATATCTTTACATCAGACATTCAAAATACACATCAGCCGTAATATAATATTTTGGAAGGGAACTTCTTCTGTGTTTTCTAACGATTATTGCCCTTAAATTACATGTATAAGCTAAATATGCTGTAAGCTGATGGTTTGACAAGATGATGGTATGTCAAATGTGCTGAGTGTTAAGGACTGAACTGCACACATTGTATAATGAAGTGACGATGAAAGTATGTATTGAAGCAAACTTTGATTAGTTTTCCTTTGTCAGTTTTGAAAACTAACAATACTTTGAGTGACTTTGCTACTATAAGCGTAATGCATGCAGATTTGATGGACAACAAGTAACGTAAATCTCCCAATAGGTTATCCCTGTAATAATTTACATCTGTTTATTTGTAAACTCAAATTTACGAGCATGCATGTTGATTAGACACATTACCTCTGCTTTAAATCATAAGGTGTAGACAATCTTTTTACTGTAAGTGCAAATTTTTGCCTTTTGGCCTTTTAAAATTAATGTGTCCAGTGTAGAATTCATCCTGTAGTTGTTTTAAAATTAAATGATTAATAATTTTTGCCCCATTTTAAATTCAACTTTTTCTGCTAGAGAAAGATGAGCACATACAAAACGAGGGCAAAAAAGTCCCTTGTAAAAATATTGATGCAAGAAAGTGGAATTGTTGAAAAGATAATTGATATCCAAATCTGTGTTAATTTATATCGACCGTTTCCACTTTTAATGGTAAAATAACTGATTATGTTTATACACAGCACTGAGATGAGCTTCACTGTAGCTGTGGACTTCACTGCGTCCAATGGAAACCCCTCCTCTCCAACGTCACTACACTATCTCAACCCGTACGGAGCTCCCAACCAGTACGCAGCGGCCATACAGGCTGTAGGGGAGATAATCCAGGACTATGACAGGTAGGGATGATCTCCCTTGTGACCCAAATAACTAGGGTCTGTATGTTCAAGCGGAACAACTGGTTTGTTTGTTTTAAATGTAATATTTTCAGGTATAAATCCTGGCAGACCTGCAAACGTTTATACAGGCCTTGGAAGGCTTTGTCAAGGCTCGTCTGAAAGCAGCATCAGATTACTGGGTCTGACCTTATTTCATAAACGAACAATTCTGGTCCAACCAGTCCTACTCTTTGGATAGCGATGAACGAAAGTGGCTGTAGTATCATATATTATGTTGAAAATTTGTATTTTGTATGTATGAAGATAAATACTCAAGTCGAGTATGGTCCTGAAATTATTTTCTTCGTGCATGTAAGATCTCGTATAGATATAAATGAAAAATAGTTTTTCCAGTAAATATCAGTTAAAGACCCCAGTACCACTGCCAAAAATTATAGCTTCTCATTGGAAACTGTATTTATCTGTCAGCACTATAGCTTTGATAAATTATTTTTGAAGGAAACCTGTAACTTGTGGGTCTTTAATGAAAAAATAATAAAGTTACCCTTGTATGTTTGCTATTCTGTCCATCCACACTATTGTTTTGGGAGATAAATTTCACATGGCAAAATATTGTTATATATAGATAAGGAATAGGAGTTTGTACAGTTTCTTTAGATCAAGGTGAAGGTCACTGTTGATGAAAATAGAACGGGTATCCGGATATACTGTCAAAAATACATTGAATTGCCTTTTGACAGGTAATGGTTAATTTGGCACTTAATGGATTTCATAGGTGAATAACGTCATATCTGATCGGGAAATCTAAGATGGCCACTTATTAAGCATAGCTGTCAACTCTCCCTCATTAGGAGACTCCCTCATTCAAATCCAAACTCACTCAAACGATATAATTTGATAACAACAACCAGCCTAAGTAATAAAATAAAGTTTGTGTTTTTTGTCATTACTACAGTGATAAGCTGTTCCCTGCCTTAGGTTTTGGGGCCAGGATGAGTGATGGAAGTGTACATCATGAATTTGCTCTGGTAAGTTGTCTTTTTAGAATCACAATGTGGCTATTATCATGCTTATTGATTGGCTGATGTATGTCACAATCTCGCTGTATACCATAGTAGCATACTATTTGTAGTTTGATGGTGGGATAGTATTGTAGATCTCATTCAGTTATTATCATGCTAATTGATTGGCTGATGTATGTCACAATCTCGCTGTATACCATAGTAGCATACTATTTGTAGTTTGATGGTGGGATAGTGTTGTAGATCTCATTCAGTTATTATCATGCTAATTGATTGGCTGATGTATGTCACAATCTCGCTGTATACCATAGTAGCATACTATTTGTAGTTTGATGGTGGGATAGTGTTGTAGATCTCATTCAGTTATTATCATGCTAATTGATTGGCTGATGTATGTCACAATCTCGCTGTATACCATAGTAGCATACTATTTGTAGTTTGATGGTGGGATAGTGTTGTAGATCTCATTCAGTTATTATCATGCTAATTGATTGGCTGATGTATGTCACAATCTCGCTGTATACCATAGTAGCATACTATTTGTAGTTTGATGGTGGGAAGTGTGTTGTAGATCTCATTCAGTTATTATCATGCTAATTGATTGGCTGATGTATGTCACAATCTCGCTGTTTACCATAGTAGCATACTATTTGTAGTTTGATGGTGGGAAGTGTGTTGTAGATCTCATTCAGTTCATGCTAATTGATTGGCTGATGTATGTCACAATCTCGCTGTATACCATAGCAGCATACTATTTGTAGTTTGATGGTGGGAAGTGTGTTGTAGATCTCATTCAATTATTATCATGCTAATTGATTGGCTGATGTATGTCACAATCTCGCTATATACCATAGTAGCATACTATTGGTAGTTTGATGGATCAACACATATCTTCTAGATTTTCATGTCATTATCAAAATATCTGACATAAAATTCATCCGTTGTAAAACATGACACAGTTTCACGTTTATAAATTAAGTAAGTCTTCACTAAGTAATAACTTCTGTTGTCTGTTATTTCAAGTGAATCAAAATAAATTAAATTGTACACTAGTAAAGAAGATCACCCCTACCTATCGTAGTCCTGGATTATCTCCCCTGCTGCCTGCATGGCCGCTGTATACTGGTGGGAAGCTCACTGTACTGTTACTTGCTGTAGCTGTAATATCACTATAAAAACTACAAATAGGATTACTGAGCTAAAGTTTCATTTCAGGCAGTGTAAGAATTCTGCAAATTTGGTCTGATAAAGGCTGAAAAAGACACAATTTCTGTTAGAAATTACTGTATACGGGGACATTTTTGCTGAGGGAAATCATCATTACAGCAAATATAAGTTTACAGCATAATAAACATAGTAGGCAAAATTGACAATGGGCAAAAGTTTCCATAGAGAATCAGTGCTTAACATTTTTTTTTAAGGTAGAATAGAAATGAGTGTTAATTAACCTGTATTTTTGTCTCGCTGCCATGAAGTAGTGGAAGCAAGACTATGGTGTTTCTTTCCCGGGAGGTGTCGACGTCAACATTAAGTTCTTGCGTTTAAGTAAGTTTCATTGAAAGCATGAGTGCTAGACCAACCAAACCTGGACCACAGATGCATCTTAGGTGGTACATCTCAGCCAATGCATCAAATGCTGGATGCAGCCTACATTTCATGTTCCATTGACTTGGTCAGAATCTCCATCAACATAAGTTTTTGTGTTTAAGTTAGTTTCTCTGATATGTGCATTGATGGTCAAAGTGGGGCACAGGCGAGACATCAATCTGAATGGCTTACTAAATTTCAGAACTTCAACCCGAGCAATCCATTCTGTCAAGGTGTACAGGGAATCCTCCAGGCCTACTTCAACTCTCTAAAGAACGTCCAGTTGTACGGCCCGACGAACTTCGCCCCTGTCATCAACCATGTTGCCAGGTATGTGAACACATCACCTTAGCTAGGAAAGCAGTTGCTTAATGAAGTGAAATATTTATAAAATAATATATTATTTGGTTTTACTCGTACTGCTGTTAATTCTTCCCTAAAAGAAATATTTTTGTAAAACAGTTCACCAATAAAAAATATTGACTTTATTTATTTTTCACCAATTATTAACAAATTTTTCCAACTCATATAAATATTGTATTGGCCTGGATAGAAGCATATAGGGGGTGTTGATGTGGGAAAGAAACTACTACCAAGAGAAAAACAATAAAAATATCAGGCAGGTGAAACAATACCATTTTCATGGAGTCTTGCAATTTTGGTAAAGGCGAGTCACTCTTCACTGCACCAACCAATTGCAACCACCTGATATGGAACAGTTTGATACAATAAATTACCTGCTGCCATGTTTGTTGGTTCAGCCACTAGCATTCCATACAACTGTTAAGGGTTCAATTATTAGTGGGATAAAAGCGTGGACTTTCAGAATTTACTGTTACTCCTTTCTTTCAATGAATTACCTCCTATATTCTTTATACTGTACAAGTACATATAGTTCATAGGACAGGACTCAAAAAGCTTTTATATGTCTCGGTGTATGTAAAAGACAGCCATGTAGAGATCAAATGGAGGCTAGGCTACAGTTTCCTAGCAGCCTGCCTCAGAAAATGTTAACTTTTTATCTCTAGAGAATTTAAAGAATCAGAAATAAAGTGAAACATTGTTTCTGTCTTTTGCATAGAAATAGAATATCAGACATACCAGTATATAGATTTTTCACAAAAAGGTGTTAAATCTTATATTGATATACAAAGCTTATACTTATAAAGTAATATTGGTTATTGATGGAAATGTGATGAAACCTTTCCAATTATACACACTTCCTTGTACATGTATGTCTTATGAAACCTGTTTGATTACAGTGTGTATAACTCTGTGTAGGTTCGCCACTGCGGTACAGGACGGCTCTAACTATTTTGTGCTACTCATCATCACGGATGGCGTAATCACAGACATGCCCCAAACCATGCAGGCGATAATCAGTGTAAGTACCCATGTCGGCCATTTCATTGTACCCTCATAAAGTCTATGAATAACACTCATTATTGTTAAAAAGAAAAGTCAAGAAAAAAAGGCGTAAGATTTGGTTTGTTTGTGTTTAACGTCCTACTGTATACTGGTAAACGTTCGCCCTGTCTGATATCTGCCCTCTGCCGGTAAAATCCATGTTTGCCCAGTGTAAAGTTTGCCCTTAACATGTAATCACTATATATTATATTTTACAAATATTCGCTGTCATGATAAATTCACCATCATTAAGGCGAAAGTTAAACTGCGGTACAGTTTCCCGCTATACAGTATCAACAGGTTTAGTCATTGAAGGATGTGCCAGGTTTTGGTGCTGGAGGAAAACCAGAGTGTCTGAAGAAAAAACACCAACCTGTGGCCAGTACCTGGTGACTGCCCTGTGTAGATTTCTAACCCGCGACCCAGTGGTGGAGGGCTAGTGACTGCCCTGTGTAGATTTCTAACCTANGGGGGGGGGGGGTATACTGGAATCACCCTGTGGATGTCTGTCGTCCGCAGTAACTTGTCCATGTAACTCCTCCTTAACGAACAGAGGGATTTCATTGAAACTTTGCATGAATGATCAGTATCTTATGTAGTTGTGCACCGGCATTTTGATTTGGGATTTCAACCCTTTTTGATGGAGTTATGCTCCTTTTTGCAAAATACATGTTTATTTTTTTTGTTATTTTATTTTTTTGTTTTTAATAAAATAGTGATTACCATAATTCATCACTGGTGGGAGACTTTATTGATTTGCATAAGTAAGCCTTTAGCATACAGTTCTGGTTTATATAGGAACAGGGGTATTAGTTAGCCTTTGGCTTACAGTTCTAGTTTTATACTTGAAATTTAGTTTGCCTATTTGAAGAATAGCTCCCTTACAGAAATGATAGGCTTCTGGCAACCATTTGCTGCAAACTCGCAGCAACTTTGCGGCAAGCTTGCAGCAACCGTTTGCCACAAGCTTGCCACAAGCGCACATTTCGTATGCAAATGAGATTTCTGGCAAACACTTCTGGCAACTTACATGTAACAGCAGTGTTCTGGCAAATTAGCGGCAACTTTCTGGCAACTTAGCGGCAACTTTCTGGTAATTTTGTGGCATCATTCTGGCAACTTTCTGGCAACTTTGTGGTAAACTGCTTGCCACAAACTTCTGGCAAAGCCCTTGCAAACTTATGGTAACTTGTTTTAATAACCATTCTTTGAACCATTTAGCTCAGGCCTTGCTGGTGCTACAAATAGTTGTAAATTCAAATTCTCACTATATACTAGCTATTGTAATGTATTCTGGTCAAAGGTATAATCACATATTCTGTTTTATTTCCCATACATATACATCATATAATTTTCAAAACAAACTGACCCCATTATTCAGACCATGCTGGTACTGGATAATTATCATAAATATCATATGCCACAAAATATTGCATACATATACCTTTCACATGTGCTAAAGTAGTGAATTGGTGTTTGTTCCTCTTGCAATTATATCCACACTTTTGTTATAAACTTCCAAATGGAAAATAATGCTCCTTCTCCTTACAAACACCCGCAGTTATCAGTAATGGCCACTTGCATCTTCAAAACTTTGAATGTAGAAACTGACCAATCACTGACCAGGATACTGGACTGGCTGCTGTGGCTAGTTCCGGTTGTGAGATTATTATCATAAGATCTATACAGACTTTACAATCTATATAGACTTGCTTAAGTCGTTTTAAATACTTTTGAACATTACAATTAATAGACAGTCAGATTTATTCCATTTGTTGTATGTTGAGACAAAACATAATTTGTCAAACCTGAATATAAAACAGCATAATGTTCCCAATGCATTACATAGAAACTGTTCCATTGTTAATTAATCAGCTGTCTCCAATAAAATTATTTCATATTTAAGCCTGTGAGTGTTGAATGATAAATATTATAATCTAGAATGTTTTAATACATACCCAGTATTTTTAGCTCACCTGGCATGCAATAGACACGCGTCCGTCGTCCGTCCGTCGTCCGTCCGTCGTCCAGCATCCGGCATCCGGCGTCAATATTTTACTTTAAACGACTTCTTCTTAATAACCGAAAGGCCTAGGGTGTTGATATTTGGCCAGAAGCAAACTGGGATGAAGGGCTACAAAGTTTGTTAAAATTAATGACCTTTACCCATTTTCAAGGTCACAGGGGTCAGATATGTTAAAAACTTTAAACATCTTCTTCTCGATAACCAAACTTCCCAGGGAGATGATATTTGGCCAGTAGCATGTTTGGGTGAAGGACTACAAAGTTTGTTCAAATGAATGACCTTCAATTATATTCAAGGTCATGGGGGTCAATTGTCTTAAAAAAAACTTTAAACAATTTCTTCTGAATAACCAAAATGCCCAGTGTGATGATATTTGGCCCGTAGCATGCTGAGATGAAGGGCTACAAAGTTTGTTCAAATCAATGACCTTCACCCATATTCAAGGTCACAGGGGTCAAATATGCTAAAAACTTCTAAACAATTTCTTCAGAATAACCAAAATGCCCAGGGTAATGATATTTGGCCAGTAGCATGCTGAGATGAAGGGCTACAAAGTTTGTTGACTTGAATGACCTTCACCCATATTCAAGGTCA